AGATGTAAATCCATGTACATCTTGAAGACGTACACGAATTTACGTCTTTAAGACGTACATTTTAGGTCGTATCCACGTCGTTCCTCCCATGTCGTATAAAAGACGTCTTATAGACGTACATTCCAGTACGTCAATTCGACTTATAGAACAATAATGTGAGTTATTTTCTGAAGAAAAACAAAATGTTATCTCTTCACGTTTTTTATTTTCAATTGGTCAGTTTTTTCTTATTTTCAACAAAAGTGATGTTTTTGAATTTTTTCGTCCGACATTTTGGAGCCTTCGTGTTAGGTTCTCGAATTTTTACAAAAAAATCATATTCTCCGACCCCAAAAGTCCCATAGTAATCAATTTTGAATGAAATCGGACTATAATCACAAAACTCGTCCGCCATTTTGAAGCCGACATCTTGGATTTTTCATTTTCGACAAAAGGAATTATATTCTCTGACCCCGAAATCCTTCAGATGCCAATTTTGAATCAGATCAGATCATAATCAGAAAACCATATGCTACATTGGATTCACCATCTTGAATATTGAATTTTGATTCGAATAGGAACATAATCAATGAGAAAATCGTTCGCCATATTGGATCCGTCATTCTGTTTTTTCCATTCAATAATAATATCACAACGAATTGTCACCGGAATAATATTTACTTGCCAAATTTCAAATCAATCGGACGATTTAAAGTGAGTCAAATTTAACTTGCACGTTTTGATTACAAACAGACACAAGGACATGTTTAACTAAGTAAAAGCTTGTTATGTGATGAGTAACAGAAGAAGTGAATATGGTATAATCATCGAAGTCAAGCAACAAAGAGCGCAGTTAGTACTTGAATGGGTGACCGCTTGTGTCTACTGTTTGATGAAGAGTCGTTTATTTCCCTTTTTTTTGCTTGTCTGCACTTGTTGCTAACTTCAGTGCACAGGTGAAAATCAACTGAAACTATGTGATTTTTCCGTAATTTGAAAGATCAATTTGAGGCCATGGACCAAAAACACCTAAAAAAGACGTCTTAAAGACGTACATATTAGTGGAAAATGTACGTTTTAAAGACGTCTTGAAGACGTCTCTTGGGCGTAATATGTACGTCTTTAAGACGTACTTATGTCCCGACATGTACGTCTTAAAGACGCCTTTAAGACGTACTTTGGCTGATTAGGTAGGGTTCTGAAATTTGCAGGAGGAAGCGAAAGGTACGTCCTGATTTCGAATCCGAAGTGACTTTCGACCTACCTTGTCTCCTTATATCATTTTTGCAGGTGGTTACATGGCTGTTGGCAAGCAGTGTATATCACTAGAGACGGTTCCACTTGGTCATAATGTGTATTTTCAGTATATCTACCACTCTTGCAAATTTCAGAATCCTAACTCAACAATTACGAAAGATACAGGTGTGCCTCCATTAGAAGTGGGACACACTGTATAATTTTCATCTTGTGTCAATTCTGATCTTCATATCCCTTCATCTGAAGTTGAAAGTTTCGAAATGAGCTTGAGAGTTCAAAAATCGGTTGACGAGGAATAAAGTTATGACTGCAAAACCAAAAAGGGTAGATCGAGATGCAGGATTCTAATCATCATGTATATATGTCCCGATTGAATATCAGTGAATAATGGATCATAAGTTGAGATAGGGACATGTGAGCCGTTTTGGCCGATGATAAATAGTTTCGACACGAACAAATCCTAAAGACCCCCAGTATGATATCGATGAAATCAGCTCCTCAGGAAGAATCTGAAAATGCAATAAAATAGAGGGTATTTACTTTGAAATAACAATGTTGTCGCTACTTTTTGATGGAAGTGTCAACACTGCATTGCTTAACCCATTAGTGCATAATGTGTCTTATAATGGACGCTCCTTGTCTAATTTTTTGTGACGTGAATCATGCAGGAATTGAATGTTTCATGCGCCAGAACTATAAGTGTAGTTCAACAACAAACAGCTATCGCTTCTATTTCATGAATTTGTATCTCGACAATATTCTGCACGTCATCAAATGGATATCAATTTGTATTGCACCCGACAAGGAGGGTAAGTATTTATTATAACGGAGTATAATGAATTTCAGAATTTTCTATCCCTCAAGATCTCATTATAGGCATGTGTTCATAAACCCATAAGGTAATTCGAATAATAATTTTTTTTGTAAGACACTCAAAATATTGCTTTTGTGTTGTGTCCATTATAATGGACTCTATGCATATCGGTCATCAAGATTTTTTTGTAGATCATTCTTGCAAGACCTCTTAGACATATGGAGAATGGCTCAAATATCGATCAACCAACAGATAATCATATATTAATATTGCCTCCAGAAGAAAAGTTGGCAGAAATGCAGTTATTCGAATTTAGAAACTGCGAATCCATAATAAATCATATTTCTAAAGGAATTATCCGGAATTATCAAACAGCCGTGCGACTTTCGTTATTCTGATCCTGATTTTGATGAAATCGAAAATAATATACATCTTCGCATTATGAAAAGGAATATTATAGCATCAAATGATTGTACGTTATACTACAGCACCCACTCGTTTGACTCCTCTTTTTCTTCAACGGGTTCACATTTCCTTCCACTGGATCGTGTGAGGAGCACCGAAAAAAGGTCTGGAAGTATCATCCCAAATAATTTCTTGATATGATGCATTTTCATATATCCATCAGCTGAATTTCATTCAGTAGAGTATACAAAATTGCAATTTTATATGTAAAATAGAACTGCATCTGAGAGATGCTTCAAAATGTTTCAAGTCATCATGATGTATAATTTTCATTATTATTATCATCATTATTATTATTGATAATATTGTGATTGATGTTATTGAGTTTTTCATGTCCTGGATTATGTACTTGAATAAAAATGAATACTGAAATTCCCTACTGACCACTTTCATCAATGAACCAATTTGCATAGAGTCCATTAAAATGGACGTGTCATATAAAAAAAATCTGTTGTAAAAAAAAATTATTCGTCATGAGTTATCATTCTTTGGGTATATTTGAATGAGTAAACATCTTCAGAATATAGAGATTTGAAAAAAAGTAACTTCATGCACTAATGGGTTAAAATAATTTAGATGAAGAGAGCGTACTCTGAAATATGGAAATGCAAATTATGGTTTTTTCTCGACTGATTCTCGATATAGAGATAGTATAAGCTCGTCGTGACATATACCCTGTATAGAATGCCTAGCCGAAATAGTGAAGACTGAAGATCTATGCTAGGAGTCGACTAGTTTCTCAGTTTAGATTATTCAAATGATGTGATATTTCAGAAATTTTATAAATCAATACAGAAATTGGTTCAACGAAACAGTTTGTCGAATTGAAATACAGTTTCTCTTGAATCAAAGAAATATTTCATTGAATCAACCGAATATATCATTGAATCAATCAAATATTTCATTGAATAAAGATATTGTCATGTTGAATCGTACAAAATTATTGTTTGCGCCAATCCAATATCTCATCTTAAACAAATCATGGATGTGCTTGATTGAATAATATCCAGAGTTCATTCAAGACTTGATTTAAACTCAAAATACATCATTGAACAATGAAATAGATTTACTAATTTCAAGATTGTATTTTGTCGAGCCCATATTGCACCTTTATTTGGTTCATTCAGTTAAATTTTGCTTGATTCAACGATTTTTTTGTGTGTAGTATCGCAAGAAACATTCCCCTGGAAGAGTTTCATACATCAGGAATCATTGTTTCATTAAAGCATACCAATTATCAGGCTGTCACTTGATTATTACTTCTTAAGATATTGTTTGAATCATTGATTCATCAAAGGATTCTAACTAACAGGCATATCACTCGATAATTACTTTTCGAGATATTGTTTGGGTATTTATCGGGTAGTAGGTATATGTACAGGGTGGCCAACTAAGACTCCAGAGTTCGATTTCTCTGTTGTCTTGAGAGATCCAAGAAAAAAATCATGGATCAAAATTGAAGTAATAACCGAGATTCACATTTCAAAATTTATTTGAAATACACAGGGTGTTCCGTAAGGTCACAGCACATCAAAGCTATGTTTTTTTCATTGGAACACCCTATATTTTATTTCATTTTTCAATTCTTCCTGAAAATCTGATTTCAACGACCCATCATACTCAGGGTCTAGCAGTGAAAGTTACTGACATATAGGGTGTGCAAAATCGAGATTTTCCAAGTTCAGGATTTTGTTCTGTCGAAACTTTCCATTATTCGTCAAAACGGTTCACATGTCCCTATCTCAACTTTTCACTCACTATCAATTGGTGTTCAATTGAAATTGATACAAGGTGGTCAAAAAATCTAAAATTTATAGTTTGTTTCAATTAAATGTCAATTGATCACCAATTGATAGTGGGTGAAAAGTTGAGATAGGGACATGTGAACCGTTTTGACGAATAATGAACAGTTTCGACAGAAAAAAATCCTGAACTTGGAAAATCTAGATTTTGCACACCCTATATGTCAGTAACTTTCACTGCTAGACCCAAGTATGATACGTCGTTGAAATCAGATCTTCAGGGAGAATTCAAAAATGAAATAAAATATAGGGTGTTTCGATGAAAAAAACATAGCTTTGATGTGCTGTGACCTTACGGAACACCCTGTGTATTCCAAAGAAATTTTGAAATGTGAAGCTCGGTTATCACTTCAATTTGAATGCAAAACTTTTTTTGTTTCTCTCAAGACAACAGAGGTATCGAACTCTGGATTCTTAGTTGGCCACTCTGTACATGAACATCTTCTGAACAGTGAGTCACTTTTTCATTAGTGTTCCCACCATCAACATGAAAAAATACAAGATTATTTTCATGGAAAATTCACTTTCTCAAAATGATCTGAATCACTATTGATTTTACAATCAGAATATTCAACAAATGATATGAAATAATGAAATCTTAGTAATCGTGCCTTTACTATTATTTTGAACACAGAATGAATATAAAGTTACTTGAGATTTTCCAGAATTCGTCTTTTTTTCAGTTGAATGGTCATGACAATCCGTCTTATACAAAAGACCCTGATGACGTTTTGGAAAATGGTACAACAATATCAGCGCCAGAAAATGTGAGTAATGGAGTCCAAATTTAAGCACCCCGAATTTTATAAAGAAGACTATTGTTTATCACCTGAAAAAAAACCGTTGAATGAAAGAATATTTCCAGTTTTTACATCATTAAATACGAATATATTGGTTACGTTACCACGACACTGTGCGCGAAATAATGTGCGAAATAAAACCATATTTCGCTCACTGCATGTAAACTGTACACTGAAAAAAAATTGTGCTATTAAAGTTTTTGCTGAGATATTTCTTGTTACCATCACAAGAAATAATATCACCGTTATACATTTTCGGATAGAAGAAGCACCTGGAAATCCTAAAGTAGTTGATTCAGCTGAACAATTATAAAAAAAAACATGCTTTCCCAGAGTGGCTGCCTGATAGCGACAACAGTATACCTATCTGTGGCAGAAATTTCACTTTCAGCAAAGTCGTTATTGCTATCATAGGATTTCAATGTGCTGATTTCATTTGAAAATGTGTAACGGTAATGGAATTGCTTGTAATGGTAGCAAGAAATATTTCAGCAGAACAATTTTCCTTAATGCACCAATGGAAATTTAATTCCTGAAATTATTATTTTCTACCACGTAAGAATCAGGAATTCGAAAGCTATGTATCTATTCTAGATCCCAAAACTGCCACCCAAACTGCATTTGTTCATAAAATCATATAAATATCAAATGAATAAATGAATTTCAAATTATTTGATTTACAAACAAAATCTGGTGTGAAATTCTCGTACCGCACGAGGTAAAATTATCTTCCGGAAATTTTCAGTCCATGTCCATGGAAATTCTGAAACTAATTCCGAGTCCAAGAGCTTCCTGAAATAATTTAACCTTCAGAGGTATTACTAGAGGTATATAACAAGTGAAGTACGTAGTTTTTGAAAGGTATCAGATTAAAATAGATATAGTTTTCATTAGGTATTAGATTAGTATAGAGGTCAGATAATTTATACGACGCTATAAAAGCAGATGATATTTTATCATTGCTCATCATGTAAGATGGAAGTAGAGGCCATGGCACCATATCATGAGCATATTTTCATATTGAAACTATCATTGGGCACCAAAGATGTGATACGACGCTATGAAAGTTCAGAGAACTGGAGATTTTTCCCACAAACTACGTACTTAGCCCACTCGACTGTCTTGGTTTTTCCACACAAACTACGTACCTAGCCCACTCGACCGCCAATAGGGACTAAAAAAACAAAAACAAAAGAAAGTTAAGACAATGCCAACATATTTCTTCTTTGTGGGTAATCAAGACAGTCGTGTGAGCTATATGTACGTTTTTTATTGGCGAAAAATCAAGACAGTCGAGTGAGCTAGGTACGTGGTTCATGGAAAAAAAATCAAGACAGTCGAATGTGCTTTTTTTACTTCATTTTGTTTTTTGTTTCGTTTTCTATTGGCAAGTGATTATCTAGGAACTTGTAAATTTTTTAGTTTTTTCATCGTATCTCCCGAACTATTGAATTCAGAGAAAAATGTTTTGAGGATTTTTTGTAGATTTTATCAAAAGGAATAATTTTGGTTCCATAACATTTTCAGATATTTTCAGTTGTTTTCGAGATATTTGGAATTATCTGAGAATAAAATTTTCAACACTTTTGTTTCATCTTCCAATCAACAAAATGAAAAAAATATTTCATGGTTCAGTGGAAGTTGATGAGGCTCATCTATCGATAATCTTTGTTTTTCAATATATCTTCATAGTACCCTATGGGTCGTTAATTTTTTTTTTTCATATTTTTCACTTTATTTCCTGTACTATTGGGTTTACAGAAAAAATTATTGATAACAATTTGTAGGAAATATTCCAGTGGATAACTTTGCACTCCTGATAATTTTCGATTTTTCCATTTGTTTTCGATATATATTGAATTGAAAGGATTTCAAATTTTGATGTTTTGATTCTCATTTGTTTTTCCATTTTCCGATGAATGCACGAAAAAATGGTTGGATAATAATTTGTTGCGTCATCAAAGAGGCATACGGTGCATATTTCAAATTTGGATTTAGTCTATTGGTTCAGGAGATATGTCGTTTTAAAGCGAACCGTGTTTTTCGGAAAATCTCCTTGAAAAACCCACTTGGAATTTCCCGACCCTGCTCAATTTCAATAGGCTTTGTCTCTACCTGATAGAGTTATTTTTCACAAAAAATGGAATCGATCGGAACACTTTTGCGATTTGTAGAGTGGTCGCAAGAAACTTTCGGTGAAAAATCGAAAAAACCCGGAAAAGCCACCTTAGAGTGTTCCGATTGCCTTCATATTTCAATGACATAATATTGTTTTGAGTACAATAAGATGGCAAAATTTCAAGTCGATATGTCAAAGGGTTCCGGAGATATATCGATTTATGATTAACACAGAGTACAGACAGACAGACAGACCACACACAAAGTTGCTCAAAATTCGATGGGGATCATTTTCTCCAAAGTAACTATATCTCTATCTCGCTTAGTTTCCGAGATAGCATTTTTGGCATGGCCGTAGTATACTCCACTATGTATAGCGTCGTATAACAAGTGATAATATTATTCAATTTCCATAGCTATGGTTGATAGAAATTTTCTTCAGTGTACCCTGCGAAATCTCAGATAAGATGAATAACTAATACAATGAACTACTCCTTCTCCACATGGCGAATAATTCATTTCCTGACGCAGATAAACAAATCACCCGAAGAGAGGGCACAATGGGGCAACGGGCTGGAATTCCTGATGTCCTGCATCGCCATGTCAGTCGGATTGGGAAATATCTGGAGATTTCCTTTTATAGCCAACAAAAACGGCGGTGGAGCCTTCCTGATTCCCTATCTGATCATTCTGACCTTTGTGGGCAGACCGGTGTATTATTTAGAGATGTCTTTGGGACAGTTTTCTAGCAGAGGGAGCGTTAAGATGTTTGAGAAGCTGTCACCTGTATTCAAAGGTAATAAGCAAATTTTCAACTCTCAGTCTTTCATTCCTCTGCAAAATTTATAAATACAAGCTGTCCCATTGGAAAATATATACCATATTTGTTGGAGCTTACATCAATTATTATATCAAAGATATAGAGTATTTCATCAATTTTGTTCAATTCCTTCTGTCGACGTACCACCAAGTATATTGTCAGATGAATTATGAACATTGAAAAATCAAAAAATGAATATATACAGGGTGTATCAAAAAAACCTAACTCCCTTGCTAGGGTAGGTAGAACATTGCGAAATGAGTTGGGTTTGCTCTGTGAAAAAATGTCGTAACGCCATCCGTTTTCATGATACAAGGTGTTGAAAAAATTATTTTTTTACACATTTTTCACAATTATTCCGAAACTACTGGCAACATTGTGATGACATTTTGTATGGAAGTTTCTTGGAATCTGACACATCGCAAGAATTTGTTTTTTTATCTGACTATCATAGAGGGCGCTAGTTACACGGTTCGTACCGAGTAGTTTTGAACATAACTTGTTTGAGGTTAGATCTTTCAATCCAAATATGATATGAACTTGAACATCATTCTATTTTACACCAAAAAGGTACTCTTGGCGAAACTCGATACTATGTTCCGTTTTCGGGATATTTCGATTTGAAAACAATGGAGTAGTAATGATGCTGGTATAAAATGACTTTTATTGAGATCAATTACCTATTTATTCAGGTTCAGAAACAATACAATTATTCTTGTGCAAGTTATTGATGGAACAAAGAATCATTAGTAGAAAATCAAGAGATAATTTGACTAGAAACATGGAATATTGAATCAATTAGAGTAAGTGTTCCAAATGTCCTACGTTTCGAGGAATACACGATTCTATATTCTTTTTTAAAGAATGTATCATTCTTCTGAACAGTTGAGACTCAGCTGTTAGGTCATTTAAGTGATGTTCAATTATATCTCACAACTCTTGACGTGAATTTACCTATGTAGCATAGTCTTTCTGCTCAAGATACAACAAAACTGTGTAATCCATATTCTTAGTCAGATCTGTTTCGATGTTATTCTTGTGATTCATTGTTGAATCAATGAGTTTCGCATCAGAAATACATTGTTGTTCTCGGTTTTCAGTAAATAGGTGAAAATTTTTCATAATACTCACTCTAATACATAGCTTTATACCAGCAACAGTTACCACTTCATCGTTTTCAAATCGAAATATTCCGAAAACGGAAAACAGTATCGAGTTTTACCAAGAGTACCATTTTGGTGTGAAATTGAATGATGTTCAAATTCACATCAAATTTGGATCGAAAAATCTAACCTAAAAAAAGTTATGTTCAAAACTACTCGATACGAACCGTGTAACTAGCGCCCTCTATGAGAGTCAGATATCAAAACGAATGCATGCGATGTGTCAGATTCCAAGAAACATCCATACAAAATTTCATCACAATGTTGCCAGTAGTTTCAACAAAATCGTAAAAAATGTGTTGCAAAAATATTGTTCGAACACCTTGTATCTTGAAAACGGATGGCGTTACGACATTTTTTTACTGAGCAAACTTATTTTGCAATGTTCCACCTACCCTAGCAAGGGGGTTAGGTTTCTTTGAAACACCCTGTATATACAGAAATACATTTAGATATCGCATTCTCTATGTTATGAAAATATCAATTCTTTCTCGAATTATTCAACAGAAAATAAATACTTTCCTGGCTATATGCCACGACGAACAATGAATTATTTCTATTGAACACACACTATGAGAATTTGAAAACTAAATCATCTAAAGTCGAGAATTTGCATTCTCATTCAGATAATAATATGTATTTGCACCTAACATCAATCTGAATATTCAACAGGAAACAACTTCTTTGTGAATTATATTTGTTGAACATCCAAAAAGAGAATATGAAGAATTAAAATCCTTTGAAATTGAAAATTGCCGATCTCTTCAATCTGACAAATAATATGATGTATTTTGATATATAAATAAAGCTTATGAAATGAAATTCGAAATGTATAGGAGGAGTAAACATGTATTAACTCAGATCTTGATGAGCTTGGAACTTACAAAAAATTCATTCGTATCAGTGATATGGGAATTATATCTCTCACAAACAGGTTATATGACTTCATTCGAATCAACTCATTTCGGATTTCAAACCCTCCTCATTAACCTGAAGTTCAACACGTCCGGAAACAAAATTGTTTCCGGATGTGTTGCGTACACACTAATTTTTCGGCAACCGTGTATCATAACAATGCAATGAGACACATTATTTTATTGTTTTTTTCTGAAAAACGAAATTTCGAACAATTTATTTTCCATTTGTCCTTAATATTGAGAGGCAATAATTATTGTGCTATAGTAGCAAGTACTGCATTGGAAATTTCAGAAGGTGCATTTTCACTACTGCTTCTGCTTTCCATAGGTCATTGCAATGATTGCGATCAGAAACCATGCAATTTTATAAAATCTAAATGTCAATTAATTTTGTGTCAATTAGCTGTCAATCTTCATTTCACTGCTATGGTATCGATCAACTGCATTTATTATGATACCGTTCATATTCACAATGACAATCTGATTCATGTATGAAAAATTTCACAAGTCGCGTGATTTTGTCATTATGACAGCGAAAAAAGTTTGCCCTAACTTTTCCAGCGACAATAACGAAACCTAACTTTTGAAAACATGACAACCAGCCACAAACAAATGTTTGATGAATCAAATTGTCTAACCGAATCACACTCTTATTTTTTGTTAGTCGAAGTTAATTTGGCATCAATAATTCGAATTTTGTTGCCATAAGTCAATTCAACTGAAAAAACTGCCAGAAAAAATTACTCGTCCTACTGAGGCAGTTTTTCTCGTCAAATTGCCTGACGACCAAATTCTTATCGACACATGTCAAGTTGACTTCGACAAAAAAAAGCTCTCGTGTAATTATACAGGGCTTTCATTTCAGAACTTACCACTCTGCATATGTTCTGATCTACGGAGATTACAATTTTCGGCGAAAACAGTTCGATTTAGATATCAAGGGAGAAAGTAAAATAACAGTATCAATTGAATGCTATGTTCATTCCCTTCACCCCCAGACACCCCTACTTTGAAATCTCAAATGGCACCTCCTACTTTGAAATACATAAAATTGAAGGTCTCTATCATTGATCAAATCAACCAGGTGGAAAAATATTCATTTCGTATACAGGGTGAGTCATGAGGTACTGTACATACTCCTACTCCGAACAGACGCCCCAGGGGGGAATATCGAATGGTCATCTGGAGTTTTCCTCCTCTTCTGCAATGATAAACAGGATGATTTATAGAATCGAGCGAAACAATATTTTTGTCACAATTTTTCAACAGCTTCTTCGATTCATTTCATTTCTTCATGGATCATCAGGAATTTCAACACCAATAGACTAACGACTGACGTATACAGAATTGAAAAAAATCCATGACCGAACTTGTGAAATATTGCCAGCTATCAAAGAGTTCACTCTGTATATGGTTTCAGTGAACAATGACATCTTCTCTGTCAATCAGGAAACAAAATGTGTTGGTGCTTCATCCAGCTGAGAATGATATACCCTACTATAGTTCCTTTCAAAAACAACTAGAATGATTCATTTTGACGTATCGTGTCTAAGAAGAAATGCAATTTTTCAGAGTGATTTTCAAAACGATTTTCCAGAATGTGCTTCATTGTTCTCTAGACAATAGTACAGCCTATTCTCGAATCCTTCACGAACTTTTTGAAACGTTTCCCGATTGATTTGTTTGCATTCTGAAATGATTCTTTTTTTGAGTTCATCAATATCTTCTGGTGGAGTCTTATAAACCATTGTTTTCAAGTGACCCCAAGATAATAGTCAAGAGGTGTAAAATCTGGAGATCTTGCTGGCCATTCCATGGCACCTCTTCTACCAATCCACTGCCTAGGAAATCGTTGCTTCAACCATTCTCTCACCTCTAGAAAAACATGTGGTGGAGCTCCATTCTGCTGAAAGAATAGGTTATCTTCGTTTAGCAACATATTTTCATGATAAGCGATTGGCCTCTCTAAAGATTGTGTAATGAGGGGATCGATTATTGTATTTCCCAATAAATCCAGGTACAATTGTCCATTTGAACTGTCTTCAATGAATAGTGGTCAAATTATCTCATTTCCTAGAATACTAGCCAACACATTGATTTTCTCAGGAAACTGAGTATGGTCCTGTCGAAATATGTGTGGATTTTCATTGTCTCAGAATCTCCAATTATGTTTATTTAACAAAGCCGTTCAAATAAAACGTTGATTCATCACTGAAACAGATGTGCTTAAGAAAACTGGCATCTTGTTGAATCTTCCCAGACATCATCTCACAAAAATCGATTCTGCGGTCATGATCGTCCTATGTGAGTAAGATACGATTCGTCAAAATGAATAATTCTAGTTGGTTTTGGAAGGAACTAGTAGGGTTTACCATTCTCAGCTGGATGGAGCACCAACACAGTTTATTCTGATTGACAGAAAAGATGTCATCGTTCACTGAAACTATAAACAACATTTCACAAGTACGGTCCTGGATATTTTTCAATTCTGTTTACAGGCGTGTTAATAGCCCTCGCTATCGCTCGGTCTATTACTTACACGCTGCGGTCCATAAAAGCCTATTTTACGCCCTTGATACATAAATAACTATTTCACGTGGTTGATTTGATCAATGATAGACCTTCAATTTTATGTATCTCAAAGTAGGGGGTGCCATTTGAGATGTCCAAGTAGGGGTGTCTGGAGGTGAAGGGAATGAACATAGCATTCAATTGATACTGTTATTTCATTTCCCCCTCGATATCTAAATCGACCTGTTTTTTCCGAAAACTGTAATCTTCGCAGATCAAGAGATATGCAGATTTTTTTCATAGAAGCCCTGTATGTGACAACAACGATGTCATGCTACTCCCTCAAAGAAAGAGCTTCCGGAAAGGAGGTACTTTCCGGACGGTTGCCTAAAAATGTCCTTCAAACTAAATATTGGTATCTATCTGTTTCCAAAGGGATCGGATATGGACAAGTCCTGGGAAGCACTTGCGTCGCCTCCTACTATTGCATTCTCATGGCCATCACACTCTTCTACTTCCTCAACTCCTTCACCGATGACTTTCCCTGGGCCACGTGTCAAGATAGCTGGAAGGCTTACGAGAATTCCAGAAACTTGACTTGCATCGACAAATACTCCAATGTGACTGGCAACAACACTATCAGCTCTTCGGAGCTGTATTTCAGGTAAGAAAACGCACTATCAACGTGTATTCAACTTTGAAGGAGCGTAACTCGTTGATTTTTCAACCAATAGCGTTGTATGAACCCTATCCAATAAAATAAATACGACGTGATCATCCGAAGATTCGTCGATAAATTTGCTGAAAATGAGTATTTTCCGACTTCAATCAAACTTTTGATTAAAAAAAAAACGTTGTCTCGAAGTATAGTTGCCCATTGTGAAGGATAATGGCAATCACTTTGTACATCATATATCCGTTAGATTTTCGAAGAATTCACTATGAGGCTGAATTTCGCGTACTACACACAAGTTTGTCTATCCTGTCATGACAGCGAGTCGGAAAACTGATTCTGAAAAAAGGCGCCCGAGCATGGACCAACAGATGAAAACAGATCTGAGTATAGGGGTAGCTGTACTCTCCTTCTAAAGTATCAGCAGGTTTATCGAAACCCTCCTTCTCCTTCAGAAACTATCAATATACAGTGTGTTTTATTTCAACTCGCAAGCCCAACAGGTTCTCTTCAAAAATTAACACAAATCTGAGATATTGAAATTTTCAAGGACTACTATTGTTTGATAGATGAGTCGAAGTCTCAAAAATGACTATAGGGCAATATTATTCGAGATCTTTCAATTCTCATGGCCATCACTCTCTTCTAACTCCCCAACTCCTTCACCGAGGACTTCCCCTCTGCCACGTATCAATACAGCTGAAAGGCTCACGAGAATTCCGGAAATGTGACTTGCACCAACAAATACTCCAGTGTGACTGGCACCAACACGATCAGCTTTTCGAAACTGTATTTCAGGTAAGAAAACAAACTATCAACGTGTATTCAACTTTGAAGGGGTGGAAAATTCGTAACTCGTTGAATCTTCAACCAATAACGTTGTATGAACACTATTCAATGAAATAAATACAACGTAATTATCCGAAGATTCGTCGATGAATTTGCTGAAAATGCGTATTTTCCGACTTTAATCGAACTTTTGATTAAACTTAAAGTTGTTTGGACGTATAGTTGCCCATTGTGAAGGATAATGGCAATCACTATGTTCATCATGTATCTGTTAGATTTTCGAATGATTCACTATGAGGCTGAATTTCGCGCACCACACACAAGTCTGTCTATCCTGTTATCACAGCGATTTGGGAAACTGATCCTGAAAAAAGGCGCCCGAGCATGGATCAAGAGATGAAAACAGGTCTAGATATAGGGGTAGCTGTACTTGACTTCTATAGTCTTAGCAGGCCATCAAAATCCTCCTTCGCCTTTAGCAACTATTGATGAACAGTGTGTTTGATTACAACTCACAAGCCCAACAGGCTCTCTCCAAAAATTTGAACAAATCTGGAATATTGAGATTTTCAAAGACTACTATTGTTTGATAGATGAGTCAAATTTTCAAAATCGACTATTAGGCAAAATTTTTCGAGGATTTTCAATCCTCATGGCCATCACTCTCTTTTACTTCCCCAATTCCTTTACTGGGCCACGTGTCGAGACAGTTGTGAGGCTAACGAAAATCCAGGAATGTGAATTGCATCGACAAATACTTCAATGTGACTAGCAACAACAATATCAGCTGTTCGGAATTGTATTTCATATAGGAAAAACACTATCAACGTGTATTCAACGTTGAATGGGTGAAACATTCGTAACTTGTTGATTTTTCAACGTTATAACAATAACGTTGTATAAAGACTTTTCAATAACATAAATTCAAAGTAATTGTCCAGATAATCGTTAAATTTTTTTTTGAAAATGTGTATTTTCCGCCTTTGATTGAACTCCTGATTGACATCAACTACATTCCTCATTTTAATTGATATTCAATAGATGCTTTCTTAACAATTTATCAACGTTGTTTCGACGTAATAGTTGCCCATTGTGAAGGATGATGGCGTTCATTGTGTACATCATATAAATATATATATATATAGATTTCTAGCGCGTTCACAATGAAAGTTAATTTTGGTCACCACCCACAAGTCTGTCTATCCTGTCATGTGAGCTAGTTGAGGAGCTGGTTCTGAAAAAGGCGCCCGAGCATGGACCAAGAGATGAAAACAGGTCTGGGTATGGGGGTAGCTGTACTCAATTTTTATAGTGTCAACAGTTCTTAGGAATCCTCCTTCTCCTTCAGCAATTATTGATACACAGTGTGTTTGATTTCAACCCGCAAGACCCACAAACTCTGATTTTATAGTACCCAACAAACTCTCTTCGAAAAAGTGAACAAATATGTAATATTGATAGTTTCAAGGACTACCCATTGTTTGATATATGAGTAGAAATTCAAAAAACGACTATTAGGTAATCTCTCTCTTGAGATTTGTCAATTCTCATGGCCATATCACTCTATTTTAGTTCATCAATTTTTTCACCGAGGATTTCAGGAATGTGACTTGCATTGACAAATACTCCAATGTGACTGGCGACAACAATATCAGCTCTTCAGAATTGTATTTCAGGTACAAAAATACAATATTGACGTGTATTTTATGTTGAATGAGCGAAAAAAGCTCTCACAATCCATAATACAAATCCACGAAAGTAGTTGTTTTCTGTTGAATATACCGAGAAAAAATCAATACTTCTCAACGGCAGTTTGTTACGCATAAAATTGCATAACTTCGCCATGATTTGACCGACCCTGTAACTCTCACGGTTCATGAGATCCGAAAGATAAGGCTCAAAATTCAGCCACCCTGTAAATCTTGAAATAACATGGTTGGAATCTAGAAAAGCACTGAAAAATTAAGCTTTCCATCGAAAATAACGAAAAATGAAAGGTAGTCATCAGAAAAACTGTATATAGATGATTCATATAGAGGTGAATTCTGCAACAAAGCAGATGAAACTATTGGATATGTACTATGTGAGTACAAAGTTTTCAGAACATATTCGAACGTCGTAAAACTTGGATATTAAACGCTTTCCGAAGTAATTCTATAAATTTAATATGATGAACTCATATTCTGCTTCATCAATATGCAAAAACATTGCATATCTGTTCTGAATAATCAGATTCGGATTCTTCAGATATACCCGTTTTTACATAATTTATGTGTAGGTATACTCCCGTTTTAAGACCAAAGAAATTCCATCTCCTCCAGGCAGTGGCGTAACTTCATATTTCCTCCCATTAATTGATATACATCCAGTAATGAATCATCTGACTCAGTTCCATCTCCAGGAGTTCTCGCATTCAAGTCAGGTATGGGCTCCTCGTGGATTTCAGATATAATACTCTTCATATTCACACCATCTGTACCTACAGTTTCGAATGCAGTAGTAGCAGAAGGCTCGTCATTTGCTAAGTAAACATTTGATATTTTTCCTACCTTTATTTCCCTGCTCCAAACTTTTCTCTTTCAGACTCTCTGATAGGAAAAATCATTAAACGCAGTGACATTTTGGGGCGATACATCTGATTTGTTTTTTCTACAGGTATATTGAAATAACATTCATATTTTTATTTCATAGAAACGAGGAGAGAAAATCAGAAGGAATCTGGAATGATAGTTTTTTTCCATAATAATTGCAGAGTCAACATCCATTCCTCTTTCAATCATCATACTGCTACTAATTGATGGACATTCATCATAATATTCAACTGTATTGTCCGAAACAGTAGTAGTATTCGTTAAGAACGTGGTAATCTTGGAAATTTTACACTTTTCATCTTCTAACTTTCGTTTCCTTCTTATTTTTGAAGCACCACTAGTTTCAATCAAGTTCTCCATCTAAAAAAATTGGCATGTATCGTTGATTTCACACATCACCAAGGACCAACACTGAAAAAAAAATGCCTGCACTATTCGCAGAAATGGAAAAATTATTCCTGTGGCATATTCATAATTGAAAAATATTCATGTATCAACAATTTCGTTGAGTCCTTGCTATGGCCAGGGCCTCAGGGCCCCCTCCGAGGAACGGGCCCCCCGCTACCGCGGTATACAAGTTACGCCACTGCCTCTAGGATTTTCAAATATTTGGGAGTTTCGAGAAAGTAAAAGGAAGATGTATTTCCTTCAATGAGCCTGTGGATATTTTTGCTGATTTGTGAGTATAATTCCTTCCGGATATATACTCTTTCTTGTTTGAGGATCGTATCAAATTCTAAACAGGCAACTTCGAGTAGGTAAGATTCGATGAGGTTCAGCATTTTATCACTTCCTTTCCATGTATCTTGAAGCTTTTTTTCCCATATCAAAATACATGATTTCGATTGGTTAATTTTCGTTTATGTATTTCAGCTGTTGATTGGATACTCACATGCTGTGTTATCGATTTTGATTACTGATTAGCAGCGGCCTATCATAGATGTCATAATATTTTCATATTCAGGAATATAATATTATTCTATTGGTATGTGTGGATGGTGACAGATGCGCTGCAAATTGATGAGATCCATTTAGCCCCATCATCATCTGCTATTGTCGCAAATCAGATGATTCTAGCAGGTTATACGGCACTATACAGGGTGAGTCATGACTAACCAGCCATAGCCTAATGGTAGATAGAGGAAGTGAAGGTGAGTTGATATACAGGGAGTCCCGAAATTAGCCTGCCAAACTTCCTGATATATTGTTCATCTAAGTTTCGCCCCGATTTCAAATAATGCCCTGTATTTGTGTTAGGAATAGTCAGAATATATTTATTCACATATACAGGATGTTTCATGAGAAGACTCACATAGCCAAATGGTGAATAGTAGAAATCAAGACGAGTTGATGTATATATATGAAAACATTTTTTGACCCTCCATAACGAAGATACAGGGTATTATGTGAAATTGCTATTTAACTTTGATGGTCGATATTACAGAAATGATTCGTCGTAATCTGCTGAAATTTGGCAGCGACGTATATCTACTGAAACTATTCAAGATAACATATTATGAAAAAAAGTATCCAGGTCCGGACTTGGGAAAATTTTATGTTTCATTGTTATGTCAAAAAAGTTCACTTTTTGACCACTTTTCTCGAAAAATT